GATAAGCAAGCCAACACATCTCGATCCATAAGGCCAAGACACACCCAAGAAGGAGGTGACGCCATGGAATTAGACAGCTCATCCCGGGACAACAAAGACAAGGGCAGGAAAGGAAAAAACAGCCGCAAAGCCCACAGCAAGTAGACCGATCAACAGAAGGAACGATTTAACAAAAACCTTTATATCCACTATAGCGACAAATAGGAACCCGGACACAGCTGCCCGCAAAATCCGCGAAACAGGAACAAGGGAAAAGAAGCCGCTGCCACTAATCGGACTGCGTCAGTAGCAGCCCGGAAAGAACCTGAGCACGGAACGCTCAGTTGGACTACATGCTATGACGATAACTACCAAATCCACCAAAGTAAGAAACTGGTAACAGGATAGTTTCCACATAAGCCAAAAAAACAAAACACCAAGAGAACACGCAGGACAAATAAATAGGGAACACCCACTAAGGAAGAAATCCATAGGTTCGTAGAAGAACTACCGGAAGACTCCCTACTAGTCGACAGTAATACCGGCGACTTCTACAACAGTACACCCCAATCGAGCAGTCAAGGTTCTAAAAAGGGACAGTCAAAAAACTAGACGGCCCTACACAGCAACCAACGGGACCCTTGCAGGGGCCGAAGTCTAGGTCCCTGAACCAGGCGATCAGAACAGTAAACGGAACCATACCTACCGGAACAGATCTTTAGAAACACCTTGTAATTACGGCCAAAATCAACAAAGTAAGCGCCAGAATCATGATTAACAGCGGAGCAAGTGGCAACTTCGTAAGCCCCACGTTTGTCATCAAAAACTACTTGCTACACCAGGCAAAGGACGAGCCTTACGCGCTTAATACGGTCGATGGTACACCCTCCACTTACGGAAAAGGATAGGTACGAATTAAAACCAACTAGTCGACTCTTACTATTAGACAACACAAGGAGAAAATCAATCTAGACGTCACCACCATAGCTTCCTACGATGTGATCCTAGGAATACTATGGCTAAGGACGCATAAACCTTACATTCGATAGAGAACAGGGGAAATCACATTCCCAGACGAGGGTTGTAACCGACACCTTATAGAAGCCCAGCGGAAAACCGAGAGCCACGCAAGCGAGAGCCCAGAGAGCCAGAGGAAGGAAAAGCCAGAGCTTAAGAGTCAGAGCCAAAAGAGCCAGAACCAGGAAAGCCAGAGCTATAAGTACCAGAGCTCTAGAGGACCGAGCGTTAAAAACGGACCGAACAGTACGCGCGCCTCCCAAAAGGATTCCTCGGAACAAAAACCCGGATCCTCCGAACCAATCGAAGTCAAGGAAATCTCCGCCGCAGCGCTTAAACGAATAAGACGCAGGGGAGAAAGGATCTGCATAATGTATTTAAAGCCCAGTCAAGAAACGGAAAACCGAATTCTAGCATATATACAGGCCAATAGGCTAATAACCGACGGGCCAAAACCGGCCGTCGGGGATAATCCAGACAGGATCAACCAAGGTCACCCACTAGGGGGAAAACCCATACCTACAAAAGGAATATACCAGCCTAGTACGCCTCTAAAGCGAGAGCGGGAACCGCCCATTCCAGAATTAGAAACGGTACCAGAAGAATACTAGGATTACCAAGCTATTTTCCAAGAACGAGGCAAAGGCCAGCTCCCGGAGTATAAGCCATAGGATTACGAGATACCTTTATTACTAGGCACGCAGCCAGCGTTTAAGCCCATCTACGTACTATCCGAAAAGGAAAGCGAAGCACTTAGGGACTACCTAGATAAGAACCTCGAACGCGGCTACATCAGGCTATTAAGCTCGCCAGCCGGATACCTAATTCTCTTTATTCTAAAGAAGAATAGTAAATTACGCCTCTACGTTAATTATCGTTAGTTAAACGATATCACTATTAAAAACCGGTATCTATTACCGTTAATTACCGAGCTTTAAGATAAGCTACGGACGGTAAAATACTTTACTAAACTTAACCTTCGAGAAGGCTACTATTTAGTACGCATAAAGGAAGGGGAAGAATAGAAAACCGTATTTAGGACACGTCTAGGATATTACGAGTACACGGTTATACCTTTCGGTCTTACGAACGCCCTAGGGACATTTTAAAGTCTAGTCAACGATACGTTACGCGACTATTTAGACGTCTTCTATATAGCTTACCTAGATAATATACTCATCTATTTAGAAACCCTAGAAGAGTACAAAAAACACGTTAGGAAAGTATTCTAGGTACTACAAGGCAAAGACCTGTAAGTCGCACTAGAAAAGTACGAATAGCACGTCC